AACTGTAAGACACAAAAGGACACATATTTTATGATTCTATTTATGTGGAACATCCATAATAGGAAAATCCATAGAGATAGAATGCAGATTAATAGTTGGCTAGGACTTGGGAGAAGAGGGAACAGGGAGTGACTGCTTAATGCCTATGAGGTTTCTTTTTGGGATAACAAAAACATTTTGGAACTACATAGAGTTGATGGCTGCACAGCATTGTGAGTGCTAAATGGCGCTGAGGTGAATACTTAAAACGGTTAATTTTATGTTATATAAATTTCACCCCAATAAAATGAACACTGTTACTTTCTTTCCTCTCTAAAAATTGAAGCTTCTTATTTTTCTAGGTCAGGAAGAATCCTTTATATCTTTAGTAATAACAAGTTACTATCTAATGAGCTCTTACCATGTATTGTGAACTGTGATGCATGCTTTTTAGGCACCATGTTATTTAACCCTCACTGCAGTAATACTTGGCATGTATTGAGTGCTAAGTAACCATTTGTCATGTGGGTGAACAACTGTAGAAGCAAGGTACAAGTGAGGCAATGAGGTCGAGAGAGTGAAGGTACTTGCCCCAGGTCTCCTGGCTAGTAAATGGCAGAAATCAAACTCTAAGAATAATAGGACAAAAATATCACTTTTTGTTTCAACTCTAATGTAATGTTATGGAGAAAGACATCAGGTTTTATAACTGGAAAGAAGGTCCTTAATGTTACTTTTTGAGTCCTATTGAAATGCAAATCTGTTGTTTGTATTGGAAAATGTATGGCCTTGGTATCAGGCTGCCTGGATTTCCAACTATCCACTATTACTAAATGTATGGCCTTAGGAAAATTTGATTTAACTTTTCTGAAATCTAGGTTTCTGATTTGTTAAGATTGTTAAATTGATGATGGCAGGATGGACTGGTGGAGCCAGAGTTGAAAGTCAAAGCTACCTTATTCACCTGACTTTTAAATAATGGAAACTGAGCCGAATGTTAAGAAAACACTGTGCAGGCCAGACAAAATACATCTGAAGGCTACATCTGGCTTGTAAGTTACAAGTTTTTATCTCTGTATTAGCTTAGAGGAAACTGTGGCAACATACTGCCTGGGTTTTAAGTCTAGCCATTTACTAGCTCTGTGACCTTAGGTAAGCTACTTATTCTGTCTGTTCCTCAGTTTACTTTTTTGTAAACTGGGCATAATGATAGTATATACATTAGAAAGTTGTTACAAAGATTAAGTGTCTGTGTGTCTGTCTGTATGTATGTGTAGTCACCTAGAAATAGTACCTGGCATGTAGCAGTACAGTGCAAGTTAACTAAAATATGTTAACTAAAATAAAACAAATAGGTCCTAAGCTTCCTTTCAGCTGTTAATATTATATGATTAAAGAAGAACTTATAGAAAGCCAATTATTTGTGCTAACTCGGTCTTTACCTTGGTTTGCTCATCTGTTGTGCCTCAGTTTATACATCTGTACAATGGATATAGTAATGGTAATTGCCTCATATAGATATTGTGAAGATTAAATGAATTAATATATAGTTAATCTATCTAAAGAACTAAGAATATTTTCTGGCACAGAGTAAGGACTATATAAGTGTTAGGCATTATCATCATTTATTTTTTTAAATATATCTTGGTGAAGCTCATGTTAGTCAATACTGAAAAACTCCAAAATAAGTTGCTTACAATATGGCATTGATTCTAGGAGCAATATCCGTACCATAATAATGGTGCTGAACTTTTGACCCTTCAATCAATCATTCAAAAAGCCAAAGTCGTGATGTCTGAGTATAGGAAAGCTTCCCAGTCATTGCATAGTCTACTTAATGCATCCCAATACTGGATTGAGATACAAAAGAAAACTAGGCTAACTTGTATCTATGAAGGCAGCTAATGAAATTTATTTTTTGAGCTTGTGTCCTTTGTAGGGACAGGGATGAACCTGGAAACCATCACTCTCAGCAAACTGACAGAAGGGCAGAAGATCAAACACCGCATGTTCTCACTCATAGGCGGGTGTTGAACAATGAGAACACATGGACACAGGGAGGGGAGCACTACACACTGGGGTCAGTTGGGGGGAAATAGGGGAGGGACGGTGGGGGGTGGGGAGCTGGGGACGGATAGCAAGGGGAGATGCCAGATGTAGGTGATGGGGAGGAAGGCAGCAAATCACACTGCCACGTGTGTACCTATGCAACAATCTTGCATGTTCTTCACATGTACCCCAAAACCTAAAATGCAATAAAATAAATAAATGGGAAAAAAAAGAAATTTATTTTTAAGAGCTCTTTCTGCATTTTCCATAATATCTCCAAGAAAGAGATAAGAAAAGTTCAAATTGTGATGCACAGAGCTAATTAGAATTAGAATACAGGTTATATAATTAGAATGTAGAAAATTCCATATTGGAAAAGAGGATCATCTTCTGCTTCCCTAGTTTATCCCTGTCTACCTGGGGTAGACTATTGCTTTGTAAATACATAATAGAAGAAAGTTACAAATGGAGTTGTCCTGGAGTTGAAAAAAAGCGGCATCCTCACCATCATTTTTAAGGTGGGGAGTTTGGTATGAAAGAATAAAGAAGCCTCAGAAGGACGTGGGAGTGAGGGATGTTCAATGGGACAGAAGTCCTAATGTGACAGGAGTAAAAATATATTGCAGCCCCACACTAGATGAATAGGGAACACTGTAGACCACAAGTTCAAGGGTGCTGGCAGTGGAATTCTAGTGTCAAAGTGACAATAAGTATTAGTGGAATCTCTTTTGAGAGGACACAGGGATTCTTCAATGTAGGAAGACAGGAACAAGGGGAAATTTCATCGTGAGAAAAGCAGGGACTCTATTGTAACAAGACAGGATATAATGTGAAAATGCCATTGTGAGCTGTTATGAGCAGTGCAAGGCCATTAATAATAAAAATGGTGAATGGAGGCAGGGAATTAAAGTGGAAAGTGGGAATAACATAAGGGAGAGACTTGGGGTTTGTGTCAGGAAATATTGTAGAATTCTGAGTTTGAATGCAGAAGCTATATTGTGAGAACCATTTTCAAGCACCATTAGCAAATAAGGAGGGGATAGAGTGCTCCTCAGTGTGACAGGACAGGGTAAAAGAGAAAATCATATAATTATAAAAGAGGTAGTCTAATGAGAGAGAATGAGAAATATGCCCATTGGGAGGGGTAGAAAATATAAGAAACCCCAGTAAGAAAGAATGGGGTTTCCCCAGTGTGAGAAGACGAGACAAGTGCAATCCATTGAGAAATAAGAGGAAATAATAAGAAATCCCAAAGGAAGAGGATGGCAGAATGTGGGACTAACAGTGAATGAACACTGTGGAAGGTGGGGAGTGAGTTTCCCAAAAAAAGATAACAAATATGAATAATGATTAGAAAAGTAGCGGCCCTTTGATGGGATAGGAGATAAATTATGGGAACCCTTGTGGGAGGATAAAAGAGGTGACTCTAGTAGAAGACATGGGACAAGGCACTATCCTCATGTGACAATAATAGCAGGGTCACCAGTATGAGGTGTCAGAAAATAATGTGGGGCTCCTAATAGGAAGAAGTTGAATGCTCCTCAAAGCAAGAAGGCAGGAGACTGGAGGGAACTCTAGTATAATATAATCAGGGCGTCTAGTGTGATGGGAGAGGATGTATTATAGAATCCCAGTCCCATTATAGAAAATGATTAAATGGCGAGAGCCCACAGGGAAAAAATCTGGAGGGCTCACCACTGTGTGAAAAGGGAAGATCTTAATGGGGTAGCATAGAGTGGACTGTGGGGTCATAAGTGGACGAAGATAAGATATCAGCCAGTGTGAGGTGATCACAGGAAAAGGATAGATTCCAGTGTGGGAAAAAGGAAAGCTAATAAGAGAGTAGAGGAAATATTTTGGGACTCTCAGTAGCAAACCTCCAGCAGGAAATCCTAGTAAGATTTTAGTAGGAGGGAAAATGGTGGGGCTGCTAGTTGGATGCATTGGTAAGATTCCTAGTGTCAGCAAACAGTTTAAAGACACAGGGTATGTTGTTTCCTCAACTAGGTATAGTCAGGGGCCCCCCAGAAGAAGAGCACAAGGTGCAAGAGGGGGCCCTCGTGGGAAGAGCCAGGGCATTATTGTGGGTAGGGCAAAGAAATAAGAAACCTTAGGTGGGAGACGATGGAGACAGGGTGGGACCTTGGTGGGAGGGCGCAGGAAATATCGTGGGAACCGAGAGGCTGGGGACAAGGAACTCTCTATGGAGCAAAAGGAAAACCGCAGAGAGAGGGCTTGAGAACAGTGTGAAGGTAGGGCAAACGATTATACTGGAGCATAATTTCCCCACCTTAGGTGCCCAGCCCCACTTACCCAGGCAGAGTTCAAAGACGTAGGCATAGTAGGACCAGAGCACGACGAGGACAATAACGAGCACTGGCACCCAGGACAGTACCCGGCGGCAGCACCGCAGCCCCCCAGACAGAGCCATCTTCCAGCCTCGCCGCATCTTTGGCTCGAAGATCGACCAAGCAGGCCTGCTGGCGCTGGGTCGGAACTGCTTGGGTGGCGGCTGGGAGGCGGGAAGGCGCGCTGTGCGGCACTCCACTGCCTAGCCTGGCGGGAGCCCTCTCGCCGAGCCGCTGCCACCTGTGGGGCTGCACTGCTGAGTGCGCCCTGCCTGGCACAATAGGCTTGAGTCAGGGCGTTGAGGAGCTAGCCATGTTGGAGCTGAAGGGTGATCCGTCAGGCAGTCGGGGCTAGCATGCTCAGAGGGAGTGCACTCTCTTCCCTTTCCGTCTCCTCCCCACCCCTTGCTTCAAGGCTGGATGCAGGGCTAGACCTCTGCAAAATCGTGAAGCAGAAGAAATTTGGGTCCGCCCATCTGCTCTTACTGCACTGCGTCCGCCCTCTTCTCTGTTTCTGTCTCTCTCTCTCCCCCTTCGTTCTCTTTCTCCCTGCTACCCCACCACACAGTTACGCGCGCGCACACACACACACACACGCAGACACACACACACACTTACACTTACACATACAGGCAGTGTTAAAGATGCGAGCCATAGCGTCTCATAACATGAAGGCCATCCAGCCCCATCCTCCCACTGCTGCTGAAACAATATGCTTAACACGTAGTTCCGCAGTCACTGCTTGGGTAAGTCCTTTGACAGGGCACTCCCTCCTTCCCCCTTTCCTCCCCGCAGAATCAGCTTAGTATGTTTTTAGAATAAACAGACTGGTATTAAAAAAAATTAAGGGAGACAGTGATTCTGAGAGGGGTCAGGTAAAGCTACAAAAGTAGTGATATTTAAGCTGAGCTATATTGATAAATTCAAGAGGTCCAGGTAGATGAGAAGAGGAGAACCCTTTAGACAGAGGAAATAGCATTTACAAAGTCATAAAGTAATGAAAGTCCAAAAATGTTCTAGGAACAGCTAGTGTGGCTTGAAGAGAGTGTGTGTGAAGAGGAGAGGCTAAGAATGAGACTGGGAATATGAGACCATGGTGTGAAGGCTCTTATATGTCCTAGCAGGGCATGGGGACATAATCCTGTAAAGCAGGATTATGAACAGCCATCAAAGGTTTGGGGGAAATGGAGTGACATCAGAGATATGTTTTTGTAAAATAACTGGCATGATTTTGGAGAGGAAGATGGCCTGGAAGTAGGAAGATCAATTAGGAGGTAATTTAATTCAACAAATGCTTTTGGAGTGGTTGCTTCCTGTTAGATCAACTTTGGTACAAAAAGAATGACAAAATAGTGGGCCTGACATCAAGAAGCTCATGTTCTAACTGGGGCCATAGTTGTTCATTGACCTAAGTACAATAATAGAAGTATAGCAGGCTCTTGGCATTTATGGATTTGGCACACATTGTTTTTTCCAAAGGTCTTTTACATTAAGAAATTTGTGATTTTGCTGAGATGCATGTGTGATTCACATTCTGTGTGACTACTGTGTGGGAGCAAGTATTTCTACAAGGTTGTTCTCTGTTCTTTATTTATGGTTATATATGCAGTAAATTACCTAAAGTGATAAGAGCTTTATTGTTTCTTTCCAGATTAAGCTATTTTTATGGTTGATGTTACTAAATTCATTATGCAATGAAATGCAGAGTTCATTTTAGTTACAATATTTAGTAGCTCAATTAATTATTTGAGCCCTAAGGTTCTGACATGTATACTTAAATTTTCCAATATTCATTAATGTGGGGCTCTTGAAACATGTATTTTGGGATTGTCAAGGGTATACTGTTTAAACCAAGTAGCTTTGAGGAGGCAATGATTAAGAGTGAAAGGGAAAGTCCAAGTTGGGTTTTGAATGATGACTAGGAGTTCACCAAGAAGATAAGAGATGAGAGTAGGATTTAAGGGAGGAGGGGATTCCAGGCAAAAGGAAATATGTAGTGGCAAACATATGCAAAACAGCACAACATACTTGAGGGACTGCAAGTAGCCTGGTTTTGCTGGAAGGTATTACAGTAGTCTAACCAAGAGATGGTAAGAGCCTAGGCCTAAGATAGGATATGAAGGGAGGGAGAGGAGGGGAAAGATGTAATTGTTTTGGGGTCAATCAACAGAATTTGTCAACCAGTTGGCAGGTGAGGAGTGAGATAAAGTTAACAACCAGATATCTAACTTCAGTGACTGAATGAACAGTGTTGCCAATCAATATGATAGGGGCTACTGTGAGAAGAGCAGATTTGGTAGCGGAAGGTGACATAATTAGTTTGACATAATTAGTTTTACCTAAATCTTCCTCTTCTGAGGTTACCTGGACACGAATCCAATAATCTGGGCCAGGGGAGTTATGACAGGGATAGCTCATACCCAAAGACTCATGGAGGGCCAAGAACCAGAGAGACAAACCATGTTCAAGTGTGCACATCAAAGAATGGCAAACTATACTTACGGGCCAAATATGGCCCACTGACTTTTTTATGAATAAAGTTTTATTGGAACACATTCATATCAATTTATTTGCCCATAGTCTATGGCTGTTCTGGACAATGCTGGGTTGGAGCAGTTGTGACATAAGTCATATAGCATGCAAAGCCTACATTTATTTAAATTTATTTTTAAAGAGTTTATTTATTAGAGCAATGTTAGATTAACAGCAAAATTGAAAGGAAGGTTCAAAGATTTCCCATATACCCCCTATCTCCACATGCATAGCCATCCCCATTATCAACATCCTCCACCAGAGTGGTACATTTGTTACAATCTATGAATCAGCATCGATAGATAATTACCATCCAAAGTTCATATTTTCTATTAGCATTCACTGTTGATGTTGTACAGTCTGTGGGTTTGGACGAATATATAATGACTTGTATCCGCCATTACAGTATCATGTAGCATATTTTTGCTGCCCTAAAAATACTCTGTGTTCTGCCTGTTCATCTCTCCCTCTCTGCAACTCATGGAAGCTATTGATCTATTTACTGGTACCATAGTTTGCCTCTTCCAGAATGTCGTATAGTTGGAATGATACAGTATGTAACCTTTGAATATTGCCTTCTTTCACTTAGTAGTATGCACTTAAGATTCCTCCATGTCTTTTCATGGCTTGATAAGTCATTTCTTATTAGTGTTGAATAATATTCCAATTCCTGCATGTACCACAGTTTATTTGTCCAACTGCCAACTGAAAGACATCTTGGTTGCTTCCAAGTTTTGGTCATTATGAATAAAGCTGCTATAAACATTCATGTGCAAGTTTTTGTGTGGACATACATTTTCAGCTCATTTGGGTAAATACCAAGGATTGTTGGATCACTTGGTAAGAGTGTATTTAGTTTTGTAAGAAACTGCCAAAGTGTCTTCAAAAGTAGCTGTACCATTTTGCATCTCCAGCAGAAATGGCTGAGAGTTCCTGTTGCTCTATATCCTTGCCAGAATTTGGTGATGTCAGTGTTCTGAATTTTGGGCATTGTAAAAGTCGATAGTGGTACTTCATTGTTTTAATTTGCACATCCCTGATGACATATAGTGAGGAACATCTTTTCAGAAGTTTATTTGCCATCTATATATCTTCTTGGTGAGGAGTCTATTCAGGTCTTTAGTCTTTTTTTTTT